AAAGTTAGGAATACTTCCTTCGAGGAGGGCTGGTGGAAGCAAGCTGAGATCGCAAGGCCCTCTGCACGTAGAAGCCACAGGCCTGGCAGACGTGGCAAAGAAACTGGCTGGAACTGGGGCATGGGGATTAATGCAAAAGTCTATAAAAATATCGGGTGAACATAAAGAGGCTGGGATAAGGATGGGATTAACAGGCTAGCATGTAGAGAGACACTGAGATACAATTTCCAAAAGGACCCAGGTCAGACTGGCAGCAAAGAGTCTTCCGGCAGCTATTTTGGGTTCTGGGAGTCATGAGCCGCACGAAGGTCCTGTTGCATCATTCAAAGATTCAATTATTGAAAGACAGAGCTGGGAACATAGTTTCTGTCTCAGTCGAAGCTGACTTAGGAGTCACAGTGAGTCTACGCCTCCGTGTAGGAAGCCCCTTTGCCAGAAACTATGGTGGAGAAGAGGATTTTATTTTAATGAACATTTATATACTTCATATATTCCAAGCGCCTGACTTTGCTCAGGGGAACAGAGTTAAATAAGGTATAACATCTGCTCTGAAGGTGCCGAACAACATTAATAACATGAATTTCGTTTGCAATCAGCATGACTCACTGTACTAAACACTTCACCTGAATTATTTCACTTAATCCTCTAACAATCAGCCAGGCATGGTGATGCACGCCTGCCATCCCAGCTACCTGGGAGGCTGAAGTGGAAAGATCACTTGCGCTCAGGAGTTCCAGGCTGTAATGAGCTATGATCGCATCACTGCACTCCAGCCTGGGTGACAGAACAAGATTCTGTTTCTTAAAACATAAAATAAAATAAAATTCTGTACAACCATATAAAGTAAGTACCAATATTTTCCCCATTTTCCAGTGAGTATATTGAGGCTCAAAAAGTTTCTGAAATTTTCCTAAGGCCCTTCTGAAAGTAAGTGGAGTAGGAGGAATTTGAAACTAATCAGTTAGATCCTAGAGGTCACATGCTTAACCACCCAGTGTGTGTTTCCTAAGCTTCCTTTTATTAGATGGAGCAGGGGCTCCCCAGCCTCCTCATCGGGTAACTTTTTGTGCTGTGATGGTAACCACCTAAAGACTTAAAACTAAATACAAATTCCTTCAGTTCTCATGCATGGTACACATCTCATAACATGGTATACATCTTCAAATACTATAGAAACTACAAAACCAATAGAACTTAAATTAAACTTGCATGTTAATGAGGCAGAGGATGAGGTTTTGCAACCATAAATCTCATAAAGTTAGGAAAATCCCTTTGAGGAGGGCTCCTCTGTGTCCTGGAGCCCCAGCATCTCCCACCACTTCCCTCTATTTGAGCAGCTAGTACCTCACACCATGGTGCCATTTGGCCTCCACTAAGTGAAAGCACATCGTTTATTCGTTACTTCACCCCAGTACATTTCCTATTAGCTTGTGACAGTGAAAGAAGCATTCCTGGGCACCAACGCAGTTATAAATACAAACTCATGGGCACTAAAATCCCTGGCTATGCTCAGGGATAGACTAGCAATGACTTAGAAAATTGTGGACCTCTGTTTGAGAAATACCTTACTATGCTCTTCAGCCTCCTTCTAACCCCAGTCCTCATTAGAAGGCAACAACCTCCCTGTGTGGTAAGTGAAGACAGAGAAAAACACAGAATCCATGGGATTGGAGAGAGCACCCACCCCTCTGCCCAAACAGTACAGGAAAGTCTTCCTGAAGGTGTAACTACTGGATCTGGCCCTGGAGAGGAAGAAAAGTGTTTCCCAAGTAGAAGAAATGACATAAAGAAAGGCAATAGGATATGAAGCAGCATCATATGTGCAAAAGAGACAAGAGAATATATAATCCATGAAGAGTAAGAGAAAGAAAAAACCAGAGAAGCTGGTAGAAGACAGATCATGGGGTACCTACACCTATATCTGAGTGTCTACATCAACATCATCTACATCTACACCTATATTTACATCTGAGTGTCTGTCTCTACATCCTCTATGCCTACACCTACACCTATATCTGTATATCTACATCAACATAATCTACACCTACACCAACACCTACATCTGCATGTCTACATTGACATCATCTACACCTACACCTATATCTACATCTGAGTGCCTACATCTATATCCTCTACACCTACACCTACATCTGTATATCTATATCACCGTCATCTACACCCAGATCTCCACCTACACCTACATCTACATCTGTATATCTACATCAACATCACCTATACCTATACCTGCAACTACATCTGTATATGTCCACATCAACATCATCTATGCCTACATCTACATCAACATCTACTCTGAGTCTACACCCACTACACCTAACTACCTGCATCTATATATAATTATTTATCTCCTACTCATCTGTATTCTACATCATCTCACCCACCTATACTCATTTATATTTACCTCTGCATCATCCAGCCCATTTCCTACATCCATATGTCTATACCTACATCTACATCAACCTCTACATTTACATCTATATCTATTTTCTTGGCCGGTCTATGAACCCTTTGAGAAAAGGCAGGAAAGCATTAGAATTGTCGAACACTTTTTCATTTCCTTGTGCACTACGTGTATAAGAAACACCTCTGCTTGGTTTGAAATGGAAAGATCATGACTATGTATGAGGCAGTCGTCCCCCAGTTGCCATGGACATCTACCTTGGTTGCCAGCTCCCTGTATCCTGGCATGGCAGGGCTACAGGAAGTGCTTGAGTTGGTGAGAATAACACGGGACTCTTATTTACCATCACCAGCATTAGCTTGCATTGTGCAGCCACGGTTTGCTTGGTCTTTTAAATTACATTCCCACTTCCCTGTGCTCTCATCATTGCAGCTCTCATGGCTACATTCCTTAAAGCAATAACTTTCATTTACAATAATGTTCCTTTAATAGGGGCACGTTGGCCAATATTCATGCACAATCACTTGGCATAGCATTTTTCATCGAAGAGCCTGTGCCAACATTAAATAGGTGAATTTAGCAAAAGCAGAAAAGCATAAAGAAGAAAATAAACATGACCCATGAACCCACTTCCTAGAGTAACTGTTTACATTGGGTGTGCTTTTGCCAGAGAAATTCCTCTTTGCATATTGAGAACATATTGAATTCTAACTCTTACTGTTAACATTATAATACAAACATTTCTATATAACTTTGAATACTTTGGAAAATAATTTAATGGCTATGTACTCTTTCTTTATATGTCCTCATATCATTATTGACCATTTCTACTACACTTTGTTCCTTCTTTTCTATTTATTCATTTATTAAATATCCATCGAGCACTTACTTGAATCAGCAAGACATGCAAGGACTTTGTGGCTTTTTGTTTGTTTTGTTTGTTTGTTTGTTTTGAGATAGAGTCTCACTCTGTCACCCAGACTGGAGTGCAGTGGCTCGATCTCCACTCACTGCAACCTCTGCCTCCCAGGTTCAAGTGATTCTCCTGCCTCAGCCTCCCGAGTAGCTGGGATTACAGGCATCTGCCACTACACCAAGCTATTTTTTTTGTATTTTTAGCAGAGACATGGTTTCATTTATGTTGGCCAGGCTGGTCTCGAACTCCTAACCTCAAGATCTGCCCCCCTCGGCCTCCCAAAGTGCTGGGGTTACAGGTGTGAGCCACCGCACCCCCAGCCAGTCCTTGTTTTTAAAGAGCTTACAATTGAATGGGCAGAAGCAGATAGTAACAAGTGAATGAAAGTAGTAAGATCTCAGATTTACAGATGTTATATTCTAACTATGTTTAGAGGAAAAAAAATGCAGCTTTCAAATTTCATTTACAGTCTGTCTTTCACATAGTCTCCCATCCACAATAGTGTGAGCAGAAAATAAATAAGTAAAATAGATGTGAGTACCAACCAAGAAACCTAGACTGATTCACAACATCAAATTTTTTTTCTTAGCTAAATCTTAGCTTCTTCAGTCAAAATACCCCATCACTTAGATTCCAACTCTCTTGCCAGAGCAGAACTCATTCCTGAAGTGCCTGCCTCCAGCATCCATTCTTGAACTCTCTGCCTTCAGGGTTATCTTAATCCTAACAACAAGCTTGTTTAGTCCACTGTATTCTCAGCATCTCTAAGTGAATGCAGAGGAATTTCCAGTTTCTTTCTACGGCATAGGAAGACCAAAGGGATCCAGAAATGGTGCCAAAAAAAAAATTTTGTCCCCTGCTTCTGAAGTTGTTGATTTATCCTTGTCCGGCATAGGGCAGAGGTCTTCCCCTACAGCAATAATTCTTTAAGTATGGCCCCCAGACCACCAACACCAGCATCACCCAAGAAACTGTCAGAAGAACAAATTCTTCTCCCCAGACCTACCAAAGAAGAAACTGTGGGTGGGGCAGCGGTCCAGCAATCTGTGTCTTAGAGCTCTTGAAGCTTATTCAAGGAGATTCTGATGTGTACTAAAGTTTCAGAGCCACTGCCCTAAATGATTGCACATCCAGCAAAAGGAGCTATGCTCCTGATGTTCTTCTCACATGCAATATCCATCAGGATGTTTTGAGAAACCCCATCTCAAGGCACAAGCTCCAAGGAGTGGAGGAAACACCAATCTTTCAGGATTGTTCCCTGTCTCCTTTCTCTAAACCATCTTACAAGATTGGAAGGAATTGGCTTGCAGAGTCTCCTGGCCCTGCATTGTGTGCTGCTCCCCCTTCTCTTTCTTCTCTGCTTACCCCTCCTTCTCCCTGACCGCACAGCTCACTTTCCTGCTGGCATAGGTGCAGGTGTCCACTCCACGTTTCTGGAAAGAACAGGAATGCCGTAATGCGCTGCCTCCAGGTTTGTTTCCTGGTATTCCAAAAGGCCTCAGAAAGTTATCTCTCTCTCACTCTTGTTTTTACTGAAGCTCCCGTTTGTTCCCACAAAGTCTGATTTACAATCCATATTTTCTTGATATAGATTTAAACAAAAAAAAATATATTTTGACAGTCAAACTGGAGAAACGAGTTTATTGATTTAGCAGGTATGTCTTGTCTCTCTAAAGCACTAAAACTCATTGCTTTAATCAGGTTGAAGTCTCCAAGGCAAAAATAGTCAGAATATAGAAATACGTCTGAAAGTGTTTCCAAAAATAATATCCCTGCTGCAGCAGCACAAAACTCAAAGTGAATTTTTTGATTCAACAAGTGTTTATTGAGTTCCTTCTATGTGAAGAAACTATTCTAAGCACTGGGGAATCATCAGTGATACTAGATATTCTGTAAAAGTTGTTACATCATTTACATCATTCAATCATCAAAACAATCTTAAGAGTATAAACCATGAAGTAATTTTCTTAGAGAAGAGAAATTGGAAGGCAGATTGTGTTCTCTCTCTTGGCTTTCAGCACAGATACCTCCTCGTCCAATAGACTTGTTCTCCATTTTATTCCCCATCATGGCATTTTCTTTGCTTCTGTCAATATACATTCCTCGATGTGAAGTTATGTAAGTATACAAATGCATGTATACACAGAAATACATGCAATCCATGTACCTGTTTATCTTGTCATCTGGCTTCCCTCAGCACAGTGTGTGATGGGCAGAAGAGTGTCTCCTCAGAGATGCCCATGCATTATCCTCAGAATCTGTGAACATATGACGACATATGGTAAGGGGGAATTAAGTTTGCAAATAGAATTAAAGTTAGTAATCTGCTGACTTTAAGATAAGAAAATTACCCAATGTCATCTAAGCAGTCAATGGAATCTCAGGCATCCTTTAAATGTGCATGGGAGAGACAGAAGAGTCAATGTTAGAGTGACATGGTGTGAGACTCAACCCCCTTGAAGACAGAGGCAGGGACCACAAGCCAGCCATATAGGCAGCCTCTGGAAGCTGGAAATAAAGTTGTCAGTTCTTCTCTAGAGCCTCCAAAAGGATGCAGCCCTGCCCACACCTTGATTTTGGCCTCCTATGACCTATTTCAGACTTCTAACCTCCAGAACTATAAGATCATAAATTTGTATTGTTTGAAGCCATCACATGTGTGACAATTTTTAACAGTAAATAGGATGCTAATGCAGTGTAAGCATCAGGAGGGCAACCACTGTAGCTTCTTCACTGCATATACACCCAGCCCCCAGCACAGTGCTGAAAGCGCAGTGTCTGCTGATAGCACAGTGCACAGCAATGTTTACCAGGTGAGTGGACACAGAAGAACCTCAAACTCCCTCTCCAGAAGGACGCCTGTTTCCCACCTCTGGTCCCATATTACCCCACGCACTACATTGAGCCTTTTCATGTATCACCTGGGGCACCTCTGCAGCCTCTAAACATGTACCCTCTGCATCTAGGAGGGGCTTGGTAAAGTTTAGGTCTAGCGATGCAACTCTGCTTCCCAAAATCCACTGACAGACACTCAAACCTCTTTACACAAGCTTCAGAGCAGGCTGCAGTATGCCCTCACCTACAATTCCTTATTTTCTACAACTTCTAGTTATGTTCACTAAAACCAAGCCTCTCCATGCATCAGACCCACATGTGTGCCCCTGATGGGCATGAGAGCTGTGTAGAGCTCTGTGTCATGCACGTGGCCCTGCCCCACCCCAAACCAGTAGGTTGGAGGTGGAACCAAGCATCTTTAATATCTAAAAATTTCCACATGTGGCAGCCAAGTTGAGAATCACTAGTCCAATTATTACTTCTCTAAACACCCCACAGACTTTTCTGTGAAGACATCTCAGCCTGGGAAACAGAATACACAACAAATCTCTCCCTCCTTTAAAACTCAATGTTATTTTAGCTGTACTTCTAGCTGTTAGCACTTTGCAGGTTTTAGTTTTTACTGTGGTTACCTAAGTATTTTTCCTACGGTGACTATTAGATTGCAAGCCCTTGATCACAGGGAACCATACCTCTGCAGGGAGCTCCCTGAAAGCACAAGTATATGTTACGGGGCTACTTCACAGGTTTACATTTCATTGTGTGCTGAACCTGAAGTCATCCAAAGAGGTTCTCAAATGAATGACAACACACAACTATCACGAAGCTAGTCCTTTACTGCCTGTATAAATTCTTTCACTTAACGATCCCCTAAACTGCCCAGGACAGCCTGATCCTCACATAATTTTATACCTGATGAAACTGAGGCTTCATGATATTAAATTGTTTGTGGAAGGGTCGGAGGCAGGACTCAAATTTGAGGGTTGCCTAAGCCACTGCTCCAGGCTGGTCTGGTGAACAGGTCTTCCCAGCAATAGGAAAGGTAGAGAGCAACCAGGCTGCACGGGTCCACACTGGCTCCTTTTCTGCTCAGGAAAAAACAGGCAGCTTTTAAATTCCCTCTTTCAGGTCATCAGGGAATTTCTCCAGGTGCTCTTTCCAACCCTGATTTGAAACTTCTGACTTGCAATGATTTCCTTAATTTCCCTCTGGTCCCTGTCTGCCCAGTACCCTCATATTCATGACTTTACTGAGCTTTGTTCCTCCCATATGGCCTCCTGGATCCTTCCCTCAGGCTCCAGGCTCCCCGCACCGTCGGTCTAGGTGTCTCCCACCCCTAACCCAACCTGGTTCAGGAGCCCTTAAACTTGGTTTCTCAGGGAGGGCATTTAACCAAAGACAATTCCTTGCCCAGAATAGGCTCAAGTAGATATTTGTTAATCTGGCAAATATTTCAAATAAACAACTGGTGTGCAGATGGGTCCAAGCATTGTAAGGAATGATCTTCAACCCCGTTACAAAAAACACCACATCATCAGATCCATAGCCCCGAACTATAAGCCTGGAAAAATCAACAATGAAATAGAGATTTTTTTATGGTTACAAGGATCATTGCTGAATAGTAAACTCTCTGTTGAAATCATATTGACACAAATCTGGGAGTAAAATAAATAAAATCAATATTAAGGCAAGAAGTGAGTAACAGCCAGTTGAGGGCTAGAAGCAGGCTTAGCTCATGTCCTCAGAGCATCCTGCCTCTGTTCTTGGCTTCCTACTTAAAATGCAATAGACATAAAAGTGGGCAGCTTACTCAGCACCAGTGTTGGCTCTTTCCTGGGTATCATACAGCGCCACGAAGCATTAGCATTGAAATGCATGCTTCTAGGTTAAAGCTTTGGCTGCAGCTGCGCCAGGAGGGCTGCTGGGAAAACCTACCCCCATAGTCAGCGCCATCTAATCAGCAGCTTGAATCTTGTTTGTTTGTTTTTTTCCTAGCTGTTGTTCAGCCTTTTGCAATTAATCCATTCATTCATTCTCTCAGCAAACATTTACTGAGCATTTCCCCTGTTCCAGTGCCATACTACTTTACAGGGATTAAAAGATAAAACACGTAGAGCCCAGCCATAGAGGAACCCAGGTTCTAATTTACAGACACTGAACATCCCGGTTTGCCCAGGCCTGAGAGGTTTCCTTAGTCCCATCAGGAAAGTTCAGAGCAAGTCAGGACACCTCGTCACCCTATGGTGGAGATAATAGTTCTGACAGATCATCCTGATGGTGTGAAAATGCTAAGTGGAGACGTTCCAGGAGCGTTTCCAAAGTCCCAGAGCAGCTCAGTATCTCCAGACTCCACCACAGCCTCGACTCACGAACGAACACAAGGAGCTGAGGCAAGCGGCGGCCCAGGAATCAATCAAGGAGAAGTGAGGAAGGGCGGCGGAAAACGGAGAAGATGGCCAAGCACCTGGAAGCCGAGCTCGCAGACTTCTGAGTCTCAGCAGAAAAGTGTGCCCATGAAGGCTGAATCCGGCCTGCGGAAAGGAAGATGAATAGAAATGCTCACCACCTGCCAGGAGTCCGCGGTGAGATGGGAGGAACAGAGGCCTCACTAAGCAACACTGAGCACTGTGATCAATACGTGTCCAATACAGAGAAACCAGGAGGAGCAGCCGGCTTCCCGTGCCAGATGGGAAAAGGGAAGCTGCGCCAGGAAGCAAGATGAGATTCATAAAGACGAGTCTCTGCAGGCTGGGAAGGAGGGTATGCAAGAGCATTTTAGGTCACAGAAAAGAACTTAAACAAGGGAGGGATGAGAGGGACTTTCAGGAAATGGTGTCTAGACCAGGAGAGAATATTAAGCCTGACGGGAGGCCAGTTGAAGCAGAAGGTGGGCCGCGGCTGGAGAGGAGGCGCCACGGTGAGAATTCCTCAGGCCAGCCTCCCTCGGTTTCCCGCGGTGACTCCAACTCCCCAGAGCTGGAGCCCAGGGATAAGGCGCTGCGATGGCGCTTCCTGCCCTCTAGCGGTGGCACCTACAACCCCCTTCTACCAGCTCCCCAACTGGGTCACACTGACCAGTGTACCTGGCACCCCATAAACGCTGCTGCTGCAAGCCATGGGGATCAATGAATGAAATTTTAATAGTAAATCCATAGGAACAATGTATATTTATGCAGGGTAATTCTGTCTGAGGTGTAGAGGAAAGAGAGACGTGAAAAGAGAGGGAACAGTTAGAAATCAACTCCAACAGGAATGATGGGGAGATCTAGAGGCACTTCTGGAAGAACCTTCAGGAATCTGCAGCCTCCTAGCAGTGGACAGAGGCTCCACCCCGGCCTTGCCTGACTCACCATTGCCGCACACCATCCTGACAGACGTTGGCTGCAAAACTCACCAAGAAGACCCAGCCCACCTCCTCTTGCAGAGGCCCCATCCTTCGAGGTTCCTGGATGTGATTTGGGACAACTGACAGTCCGTTCTCCAAGTCTGAAATCACTTCAAGATGGTCTCTGGTAAAGATTGTACCTCATGACTCGTACAGGTGTCACCACAGCCTACTGGACACAGGGGAGACATCTGACTCAGACCAACCCATAGAGTGAGCTAAAGTGCTCAGATTCCACTCCCAGGGGCTGATCTCGCCTATGAAGCCAAGTCTGGGCAGGTCATCTCTGGGCATGTGCAAACAGAGGAAAGGGTTAAGAGGGGAATTAATGTGTAACACACATGAGCGATATTATGCAACCCCTAAAAGATACAAAAAAAAGGGGTCTCTACATCCTAATTTTTCCAGTTCTCGGGAACTAAGGAGAAGCAGACATTTAAAATACCATGCAATCCTGGAAGATACAAGTGAGGATTTCAGATTCCAACTTTCTTATGGTCTGGCTAAGCTGAATTCCTTAAATAAGCCAATTTATATATAAGCTTAGAAGAACGCCAAACAGTGCACATGTGTCGGCCACTATTATTTTGGGAACGAAAGAGATTGTCTGTTATAATGTTGGAAAATAAAGGTATTAAGGCTATCTAAGTGGATTCCCTCTTTGTTCTGCTTTCAAAGACCATGGTAAACAAAGGAATACATTGTATTTTTTCCTCAATGATGGAAATTTAGAGAATTGTGGATGGTTCCTATCAAACTAATTACATACTCTGAAAAGCTATTTTCAGGACCCATTGATTTTCATCCATATATCAATTTTGGTGTTTCATTTTCTTTCTCAATAATATAACTCTGTATGATTTTGTTTGGGCCCAGATCAAAGAACATTTTATACTCTACAGAAAATGGCAGACCTTATTTGTAAGGTCCGCTGAGCTCTTGCTAATACTCTTTAATCCGATGCAATAGCTTCTGGTCTTGAGTCATAAATTAAACCTGAGCAACAAAAATTACAGTTTTATCCTAATACTCATACCATAACCTGACAAAATTTGTAACTCAAATGAATCGGTTGGTGCCTATAGCAAAATTTGATTCAATGCAACTTACTTCCTGAAAGTCATATGCCAGGAGGATTATAGGCATTTGTCTGTTTAAAGAAAGCATTT